TGGCGTCGTAGCGTTCAGCGTGGCCATCAGCATATTGAGGGAATCACGGAACTGCGAGCCGACCATCTTTTTATTCTGCTTGTTCGCTGCGCTCGTCGGCACGATCTTCTGAGCGGACACTTTCACTCTTGTATGCGGCACTGTCAGCTTGGGGTCCTCTTCAGAGAACAGCCTCCTGAGCAGTTTGTTTTTGCCGCTCCTTAGCACGTCCACTTGTTCTTCGATTACGGTATCGCGATTCTTCTCCAGGAAGCCCACGGTTTCGTATTGCACGAGATCGGCGAAGTGATGGATAAGAAAGGCCGAAGTGCCGAATCGCGGTTTCTCAAAGTGCTTAGACTTGATGCACTTGGTGTACAACTTCTCTGCCCAGGAGGCATCCGAACCCTTCGGCATGCGGTACTCCTCGTCGAGGAGATCCAGACTGCCAAGTTTGGTCTCAATCAGATCGATGCACGGCTGATTGTCGTAAAAGTCAATGAAGGTCCATTCGATGTCCTCTTTCAAATATTCCTCCTGCTCCAGCTTGAAGACGTGCTGATTGAACTGCGGCTGGAGCTTCTCGTTCGCATAGTTGATGCAGAACTGTTCGAACGAGTTTATCTCAAACGTTTCGAAGCCGTAAATGTCCAGTACGCCGATGAAACAGTGCGCCTGATAGGGTGACTGCAGGGAGCTGTTGATGTTAGTCACGATCCAGTTGAAGAGCTCGGCATAGATGTGCTTGGCCAGGGCGTCCCGCGCGCCGATCGCCTGCTCCACGGTCATAGACTTCAGAAAGACCTCTCGTGTCGAAACGATCTTCCGATGGCACAGCCACTTGCGCAACGCGCTCACTTCGACGCCCAGCAGCTCGGAGAGAACAAGTAGGTGCCGGTCCGACGGTGAAATGTGGCTGGACTCGGTGTCCACTTCGCCGTCCTTCGCGTTCTTGATCACGCAACTGCTTATATCTACGTTACCCAGATGTAGAATGGCCGCCAGTATGCGCAGCATGTCGTCCTGCTGTTTGGACGTAAAGCCGAGCATCGTCAGTGCACTTATCGTCTCATCGAAGTACACGAGATCGTCCACGCCGTGGACGATCCTGGGGTTGTTGCCCTGATTAAGATAGTGGAACTGATCCTGGTCAGACAGGTGCAGCTGTGGAAGACGCTTCGCCGCCGAGCACATCTGATAGAAGATATGATAGTTTCGCTCCTCGTTCGCTTGGAACACCACGACTTCTCTAGCAGGTAGGTCCTCATGCTCGCGCCGGTGATGTGATAGTTCTTGTTGAACTGGATCTCGATAAACTTTCCGAATCTAGAGGAGTTGTCGTTCCTGGTAGTCTTCGCATTACCGATCGCCTCCATGATAGGCGACGAGGCGAGAACCTTCTTCTCGATCTGCGTCTCCGTTGCCGATCCGCCGACGGTCGCGAAATACCGCATGGTGTACTTTGCGGAGACCGTTTTGCCGGCCCTCGATTCGCCGGGGGAAACGATAATCGACTGGTCATGATTCTCCCTAAATTAAATTTAAAGGTTGTATAAAAGTGTCATTCTACTCGAATTCAATAAGATTACGTTAAAGTTGAGACTTAAATATATTGAATTTAACGTTGTATACCTAATAATATAAAATACATTTCATATAAATGTAATTTAAATATCATATTAATTGCTTAGTTGTATCTTTTCTTTGCTCGTACAGTGTATGAAATTGTTAATCATTCAGAACTATTTTGCGACAAGTTTATTGGTAGAAAGTTTATAGATAGTATGGCATCGGTGTTTTATTTCAGAGAAATCAATCTAAAGAACTGCAATCGTTCGCTTGGAACACGATACGTTTGGTATCGTCGCAGCTTTGCACGTGTTTATCTTAAAACCGCTAGAAGCATTCTTGCTGCAGTACTTTTGTCTATCTGTGCCTTTGTGCTTAGCTTATATTTATTATCTTACATTTGCTGACGCGTTAAAAGGAAGAGACCATTGAGTTAGATGCCGTACAACCGTGGCTCAACTCGTCACGGCTCTCTCTCTTTCTCTCTCTACACGTATTAACAATAACGTACTCTCCTGTTACCGACATTTTATGCATGCAGCACGGAATACAACCAAAATTGGGCACTGCATTACCCGCTTGAAAAATGGGCGTATAGCACGGACACGCACCAATTAGAGACTTTATCGGCAGTACTTGAAAATGGGTGTAGCGGAATAGTTCCAAAAATGAAAATGGGCGTAAAGCGCTGGAATCAGTCGAGCGAAAACGGTAACAGGCAAAACGCCGGGATGGCCGCTCTCAGGTTTCTCTCTGCTTTCTAGCAGACTTCTGTCTAGAAGCGCACCGGAGAGCGGAGAGAGAGGAGAGAGAGCTGTCAAACGTCTGGTAGGATCAGATGATCAGATATGCCAGACATGGAAGCTGATGATCGGGGAAAGAGCGATGATTACTACCTGGAGCTGTCACCCGATCCCATCAGGTTCGAATCGGTCAGCTGCCTCACGAATGTGTTTTTCGATGATTCGAAGCAGCAAGTTAGTCGACTTTACACGTGAGACCCCCCCCTCTCGCCCCGATCCGACACAATGACGAGATATCATGTTGCGTACAGGTGTTCGCCGTCCGCTCGGGAGGTGTTACAGGAGTGCTCGTTAAGGGCCCGGACCAGAACCTGAACTTCCGGATGGAGGACAAGGGCCCGGTGATATCCATCAAGTTCTCCCCCGACATGAACGTGCTCGCGATCCAGCGCACCCACTTGTCGGTGGAATTTGTCAATTACTCCTCCGCCTCCGGCCTGGATCACGTCGAGTACTCGCAGTCGTGCAAGGGAAAGAACGCCGTAATACTGGGCTTCGTGTGGACTCACGGCACCGAGATACTTGTGGTCACGGATCACGGAGTAGAACTGTTTCAAGTGCGGGAGATTCATATATATCGTTCCTTCCGTGTTGTTATCTTATATTGGAGAAAATTTCGACGCTGAAGTCGACGCTGTTATTACAGGTCAACCCGGAGAAACGTAACGTCCGAGCGCTCAAGTGCTTGAGCTTGGGCGTAAACTGGTTCGTGTTCTGTCCCAAGAGTTATCTGGTCTTACTGTCATCTGGCACGGTCGGCAATCAGATACAAGCGTTACACGTTACGCCCGGCAATCTGCACAAGTTGACAAAATTTGAAAGTCAGTAGGACGTGACGTTTGTTAATAATTTAATTATTGAGCCGTGCAAAAATATTTCTCTGCTGTGATGTTCCAGTCGAGCATGGCGTGACGAAACCGGGCAAGCTGGCAGTTTCCGAAAGGGACGTGGCGTTGGCCGTGTTGTATGGGATGCCTTGCATAATTTTGTTACGTCACCAACCGGGAGCCAACCGCTCGATGGGAACAGCATTCGTATACGTCTACACTGTACACAAGTGAGGCTCATTCCTTGAACACGGTTTGCAATTCGTAGTCTGCGCCATACAGCTATACGTTTTCTTGCAGAATGATGACCATTAAAAAGAGTCACATGTTAAAATTGGACGTCGGTGGCCGATTTGCTATAAACATTGTTGATAATCTCATCATTGTTCATCACCAAGCATCAAAGGTACACATTGGACGTGGACAAGTTTATTTTAAATATCGTAACTTACGTTTGTATGTTTATGTAGACGTCAATGATATTCGACATTATGCTATCTGGCGTGAGCGATGGGACGATAATGCATCACACGAGTATAACTACGGCGAAGCCGATTAAGCCTTTCAATCTTAAAGTGCCGGGTGCAACCTTGTCTGATCAGATGTATCAACCATGCCAGTTATGTATCCTTTTGTCGGATGTCTCGAGTATGTTAATGTTATTCTAGTGTTTGAATATTTATAATAATACCTTGACATTTATTGATCCGAATATTAAATCTTAACACTGTACAGATTCCCCTAATTGGGTTGTTTTCCAACCAAATATAATAATTGATGTAAAATTGGGTTGTTTATGGTACGTTTGGTTAATTACGATATCTCTTGGTGTCTTTTTATTCGTGCGCGATCTCGCTAATTTATCAATAACGAAACAGGTATGTCGAGCTCAGGCTAGAAACTTTGGTGAAGCTAATCACGGATAAGGTGCTTCTGGTGGAATTTTTAATGCAACGGTCAACCGCCAAGCAGATGTTAATACAAGTCCTGCAGAGTTTTATGAGCCAGTTACCTGTAAGTTTAATGGAGATGCCGACCATATTCGACAAACTTAATTTTGTATACAGAAATTATCTAGAAAACGAAATACAAAACCAGGTAATACTAAATTATATTCCTCTCCTTTGTATGTAGAGGAAAGTTCTCTATTATCAGTTAGATTTCTAATATGAGATAGCAGGTTTTTAACACCCAAATTCAATTACAAATCTTTTTCGCAACGATTACACAATCCAACAATGAATATCCAACTGATGATTCCTATTAATTTAATAGTAACTCCACTATCCCATATTAGAGTCCTATTTCATAATAGGGGACTTTCCTCTATATAATTACTTTGATAATGAGCGGTATTAAGCACGTTCAATCGTCGATTGCAGATGGGAACGCCTTTGCAGAGTAACGTTAAAAATGTAACAACGGTGGCTGAAAATTTCAAGTATAAGCTGTTGCTCGATCAAAGCGACATGTACAGTCACATATTATCGAAATTTCCGGAGGATACGATAGAACCAAAGATGATAATATGGGTTCTACTCGAGTATATCAGGTATATCAGCAGTAGGCGGTAACTTGTAATAATCTTATCGGGGGTAGTTTATTCTACACGAGTAATCGTTTGGTTTTGCAGATCATTGGCTGAACACGGAATACCAGTGCAACATTACTTGCACGAATTAGTCATCACAACATTGGTACACCGAAAAGCTTACTATCAGCTCCATCAATTGTTACAGTATCACGTAGTCGCTGATTCGAAGCCGTTGGCCTGCCTGCTGCTCTCCCTAGAAAACCTGTATCCGGCGGCGCATCAATTAGCCTTGGACATGCTGAAACGACTGGGAAACGCGCACGAGGAGATAATCGAGGTGCTTCTATCGAAGGGACACATCTTGGCTGCCCTACGGTAATTCGGAACGCTATTCTGATCGCGTTAACATTTCCACGCGTATTCATTGTATATTCACGCTTCAGGTACGTTCGGTCGGTTGGAATGGCGGATCAAGTATCTGCGAGGAAATTCTTGGAGGCGGCGAAAGCTACCGACGACGCGACGCTCTTTCACTCGGTCTTCAAGTTCTTCGAGCAGCGCAATTTGAGGCTGCACAACACCACGGCCTTCACGAAGGGGGAACATTGTCAGCCATACGTGCAGCATTTCAAATATTTATTCCAAGGAACGGACAATGAATGCAATTCGGACACGAACTCGAATGTTACCACTATTTCCTCGTAGAATTCCAATATCGCAGTGTCCGTGAGAGAATAATAGGTAAAAAGAAGTCACCTACATTTTATTTTTCATTTAACGAGGCTGATAGAGAATTTACGTGCTGTAGCTGCTTACGTAATTGTAAATTCCTATGTGTATAAAAATATATTGTTATGGATTATTTATTATGAAAAAGAGAATAAAAAAGAATTAAGGAAACTTTGTAAGACTTGTGTCGTTTACCTTGCCGGAGTTTTCTCCCCGATCCTTCCGTGCTGCCAGGTCCGCGTTGCGGGAGTCACTTGCGGGAATCATATACATTCGAGACTTGCAAAGTATAAGGTTTCTTTAATAATCTTTTAATTGCGAGACTTACGTAATGTAATACATTCATAATGAATTTCTTATTTACGAAGAGTATTCGGTAATATCAACATTCGTTTTTCTCTTTTGATGTGTATTTTCAGACAATATGTCGCACGATGTACAGATTCTCCTTAATTAAAGAAAAGAAACAACGAATAATCGTCTCTTGCGTCCTGACAATGTAGCGATAGGTAAAGTTGGTCGCCGGTCCGGTCTACGAACTACAATATTCAGTAGAATTTACATTAGGAGGAGAAGATATATAAGATCCTGTATACATCAGAGGTACGATAAATACAATCTGTGAATCAAGGACTATACAGTGACAGGCACCGCAGTTTCAATTAACGATAAGTCTGTTCAGGTATTCGGAGAGCAACAACGAACCGGTAAGGAAAAGTGGAAGAGATCACTGCCACCAAGCCAGTGGGCTTTCCTCGTCGTACCAAGGGTGACTTCGACCAACCTTGGATTAATTCAACTGGCGATTAACTGCTGTCAAGTAACACTATTAAACGTGCGGCGTACTGCTGTAAAATAAAAAGGTGTACTCGCTGTTGCTAACAGTACGAATAGAATCAATATGGATAGACCGATGCTCTGACAAATGCAAGGAGAGACTGGATTAGGGAGGATGAGTTTAGAATGTAGTTAGAAACTTCATCGCGAGCGATCCCGCCGGTCGAATTAATTGCCGATTAAGTTAATCGGAGTTCGGTCGGAGTCATCCGGGGCTCAACCGTGGCTAGGATCGAGTAATTATCGGATGTACCAAGGTGTACCAAGTTGATTATAAAAAGTCGCTCAAATGTCCGATGTAGCGTGCAAAGAATTGCGGAATACGGTGCTCGCACACACACACATACGAAGAAACAACGATACTGGGAGATTGGTCAAACGCGACACTTTGTCCAACGTTACATCTGTTAGGCCCGGTTTTACCAGCGTTGCTTAACTTTAAGCGTAGCTCAAATCGTACTTTCTTTTTTCTCTTTTCAACTGTTACTTTAGAAAGAGACAAACATGAGTTAAAGTTAAGCGACGTTTGGTGAAACCGGGCCTTAGTCGCGACGATTCGAGCGTTCTCGAAATCGTTTGCGATGACTTGAAAAATGGTTTGATTGTTTAAGCTCGGTTGTTGTTGATTGGGAAAGTAAATTGGGGCGCGAGGCGCGCGATTCTTTGGTCCTCTTTAAAAGATCAGATTTGTTTGAAAGATTCATTTTGGTTTCGTCGTGAGATACTCGTGAAACTCTGGAACGTCTCGAGCCCCATTCTCCAGCTTTACGCTTCCTCCCTTCGATTCTTTCAACGTCCTCATTCACGGGATTGCCATTGAATCGATAATCAAGTGTAAAATAGGAAGCTTGCTCCTTTCACGTCGAAAAATGTGTGCATATTGTAAATTTCCTATGAAATTTTCTTATCGTCGAAATACTAACGAGGGGGAAAATATCGAGTGTTTTTATTTCATGAGTTTTTGCCTTAGAAGTATGGAAATTCTTAATTAAATAATATTAATTGCGAATTAAAAATCGATATACATTGTTCCGGCTCGTTTGTGATCGTATTTATCTCGCGATTCTTTATCACGACGGTAAAAACGGATTTGTAAAATGTTTGATTTAACTTGCGCAAAAATGAAAATTCGACGGAAATTTTATCTTATTTGTACCGATAATATTTCTTTCTCTCTTTTTTTTCCCAAGAATTTAATCTACGTCCGCTTGTATGACAAATATGAAGAATGTGCAAGAGAAAATGTTGCAAAAAAGAATACTAGACAGAATGTAAAAAAATTGCGCACAAATACATTAATTGTATCATTATAATCTTTTTTACGTAATACATGAAGATAAAAATAGTTTTTAATAAAATAATATCTAAATATGTGTGTGAGAGAGAGAGAGAGAGAGAGAGAGAGAGAGAGAGAGAGAGAGAGAGAGAGAGAGAGAGAGAATGTTATATCAATAGGCAGTAATTTAATTATGTCTATTTCAATGATCACTTTGTTAAAAAAAATTACTTCGAGTTGCAATGTGAATGTAATGCGAAAGAATCCTCTATTAAAGAAATTAATCGGGATTAAAAAAGTTCATTATATTATGCGATAGCAATTAACGGAGACGAACGAGGCGTTTCAATTTTTTTTTAATAGCGATGTCACGGAAACATATTTCCGTGAGAGATATGTAAAACCCGCCGTAATTTAATCGGATTTTGATTGGCCGTCGTTCGTGTGCCTCACTTCGCATCGTATGTCCGCTGCCCCTCGCCGAATTTGCGCGTCCGCGTCGGCGTGATGTTCGAGATCGGTTTGCGACAACATCAATGTAAATAACGTTATTGATTAACGGGCGAAAAAGTGTGCCGCGACAAGTAACGCACGTGCGTGCACAGAAGAATATTCTACACAAAATTGAGATCGTCGTTTCTGCGCACCGAAGGGGTTAAGTATCGCGCACTGTGCGTCTATGTGAGTGTTAAAAATGTTTCGTCCGGCACAGTTCACGAATTGTAATTTTCTCCGTGTCACATTCCGTGAATTCGGTGACAAAAAAATAAAATTTATTCTCTATACTGCATTTTTCAAGGGAGAGAGAGAGAGAGAGAGAGATTATTTCAATAAACTGTAAATTAAATTACTTCTGTTTCAATAGTCACTTCGTTAAGAAAAAAATATTCGAATCATACAGCGAGCGCAGCGCAAAAGAATCCCCTATTAAAAGAGTTAATCGGACTTTTTTTTTTAAATTTATTCTACATATTTCGAGGATTCTGCATATATATGCATACGAATGCGAGCGAGCTGATTTTGTCGCGAGAGTGACGTCACAGCGTCATAGAAATACATTTCATAGACGTGCGTAGAACCAGTCGAAATATAATCGGATTTTCATTGGCTATCCCTTTCGTATGTCTCACTTCACACCGTATGCATATCGAATATTTTATATTTAAGATCGTCTTAAGATCATCTTTACATACGCCGTAGTCTATGAGCATAAGATCTGACTATAGGTCCGTTCGCGTCGCATGCCTCACATGCTCCTGTTTGCCCCGCGACCAATGCCGTCGTTTTATTAACAATTTAAGTGACGGTGTTGGTCGTCGGGCCAAGCAGAAGTACGTTGGGACACGCGACGCGTGTCTACAATGACATTTCGAGACGTAAGATTTGGGAAATTGACCAATTAGTCCCAGTCTACAATAGATGATCTAAGCCTTAAGAAATTGACCAATAACGGTCAGATATGAGTAGAATGCGCGACTGTGATTGGCCAATTTCTTAAGGCTTCGGGTTTAAATCTTTATTGTAGATGGGCACTTACAGTCGAGTATTCTCTTCACATTCGATTATTCATTTCCTAAATCTTACGCCTTGAAGTCTCATTGTAGACGCCGCGTTATGAATACCGGCCTTGGAAACGTTGGTTCGCGGCCGGCGGGGTCTCGGAACCCTCGGAAGCGCGTCTCCCGCCAAGCGCGCCAAGCGCGCCAAACTTCGCGTCGCTTCGCCCGGTGCAGCTCTTCCCGTGTTGCATCGCGTCGCCTCGTCCCGTGCAATGCCTCTCGCGTCGCATCGCGTCGCATCGCGTTCCCGTAAGCTCGTCGACAGCGATACAAGGTAAGCTAAGTAATTCTACGAGACGCTACTTCTCTCAACAGCGAGAAAGAGAGCGAGAAAGTGTGTATGTGGGTGTGTAGGCGTAAGCATAAGTACAGTTGAACAATTCGGATTTTGTTCCCAGACAGCACGCGCGTGTCTTTTACGCGTGCACGTCCAAAAACGTCGTCTTTATGACGTCCTCTAGGCGTGTGTGCTGCCTGGGTCGGTTCTCCTCTTAACGTCTTCATTACCGTCCAGCTCGCGATCGACGCGCGCGAAACGAAACCCTCTCGAGCTTCAGCGCGGTAGCCCCGCCATTTTTTTTTGCCTCGCGTCGGCGTCGCTTGCGCCGCGCGAGCGCGACGTCGTTTCGCTTCGTTGGAAAAACGAATAAGCAATATGTCCTCGCGGGGCCTCCACCGGATCACGCGTCCGCGATATCGTCCTGTACGCTCGAGGAGCAAACTAACTTCCGGAATATCAATCGCTCCACCGGAAAGAGGGATTGTTGCTTCATCTCCCACACTTTCCCCTCCGTATATTCCTATTTCTAGCCATTTACCCCTAATTTACGACGTCTATAAGGGCCGATTTCACAAACGTCAGTCAACTGTTAACCAGAGTCCACCCAGTGAGAAATGATTCGTCGATCGACGTCGAAACGATGTCGAATCGACGTCAATTCGACGGTGTCGATGTCGATTCGACGTCGTTTCGACGTCGATCGACGAATCATTTCTCGCTGGGCAGTCAACTTTCTATTTTTTTCTACTTTGTTATCTAAGAAGAGGCGGGGAATCAATTAGTCTTCGGTCAGCGGTTGACCGACGTTTGTGAAACTGGCCCTAAGTGCGCAATTTCAGCGCACATCATATCAACGTGTTACATTAAGCACATTCGTAACTTTATTATGTGCGAATTTTGCGACCTGGATTACAAATTAACTGCGGTAAACGCCGGCCGATAAGCAAGGCGTTAAGATACACGAGTGCCGTAAATACAGGTACTAATACTTTATACAGGCAAGACATTAGATAGAGACTTCCCGCACGTCCAATTTCTCCCCTTTCCATTCATTTATAGCTTAGCCTCCGTCCTTTTTCTCCCCTCTTCGTCTTACACGCTACATGTGTGCATAGGCCGGAAGTGCACGCGTACTCCGGATATCCGTAACATATTTTACGCGCGAGCAGAGGCGAAAAGTAGGTCGGTGGATTCAAAATAATGTTCAACCATTTTTCGGAGCGTCCAAAGTGCCTCCGTCGGCGATAAAACGCGAAAAGATTCGCCGGGGATTAAAATCCATGCGAAGCGCCTCGCGCTTCTATTGTCCGAGTTAAATCATTCTCGTATCATTCCGAACGTTTCGCGTCGAAAAATCCGGACTGATACGGCTCGATCTCGGCGATAAAAAGTCCGCCGAGCTCGGGCCGTCGAACTTTCGCGTCGTCTCGCTTTGCCGTTCCGCTTTAAATTCATCAGCACGCGCCTGTTTACTCGCGCAAGAGCAGCAATGTTGCGTTAATTATTTTACAAAAGCGGAGGAATGTACAAAGTGTACACTGAGACAAATTTCCATCGGATAAACCAATTAAATAGCGTTTCCGATGGTTAATTTTTCCGATTACGTTTTCCGATTGAATTATGGACACATCCGATGAAATGCAGTTACCGATGAAACTCGATTGAAAAAACCGACCACATTTTTCATCGGATATACAATTTAATCGGATATGTCCGTTTGTTATTATGTAATTGGATTATCCGATTGTATTTAATCGGACATTTTTCTCGGTGATATTGACGCGATGATACGACGTCGCCGGCTAAAAAAACCATTTCAATAAACGTCCAAACTACGCGTGCATCTTCGAGAGATATTCCGCGTAGAGCAGCGTTTTTCAAACTGGGGGTCGCGGTAACGTTTCAGGGGGATCTCGCGAAATAAAGATCGTACACGGGGTAAAAATGAAGTTGTTTGAATGAAACGTTCAACGACTACCACAAGCCTGAACAATTCACTCGATTGTACTTGCTATGGATTTTAATTTTAAGCACTGAACTAAATATCCAGATTATTCAGACAACTGTCTGATGTTTTTCATTCGTTAATACCCCGACGTTGTTTCAACGATTTCATTTCAATTGCACTGATTTTGTTGATACATCTTTTTTTTTTCGTGTAACAAAAGTTTTCTTTAACTGAGCAAAATAGCCTCGCTTGATCCCGTTGGATTTTGCACGGCGATTTTTTACGCTTTTGTGAGGGGGCAGGGTCGTGGGGCTAAAAAGTTTGAGAAACGCTGGCGTAGAGAATTACACAACACACACACACACACACACACATATATATATATAAATATAGACACACGGTGGCGCGCCGATTACCGATAACGTGTATAGCATCATCTGGGAACACATATCTAATTATACGTGTATATGTATATATCGAGAGTTTGGGCAATCAATTATTTACAGGGACATTACCCGGCCATTCCGCTTGTTTGCGAGAGTAAGCTTAAGGAATTGGAAATTAGTGGACGCTCACGCATCGCCCCGGAGCTTCGGAGAACAAGGATGTGGATCGTGTCCTTCACTTCTGCGCGCGACGACACGGCGGATTAGGTGAGTGCTAGTATACGAAAGAGATTTGCTGCAAAAGTCCCGATTATCGGCAAACCAGAGGAAATAATTGCACGTACCCGCGCTTGGAAGCTTAGCGTACGTGAGGCTACTCGGTGTCTGATTTACTCGTTCTATTTGCGAGATAATCGGTGCTGCAAAGAAGAATTGATTGTTATTAACTGGCTGAAGACTATTGTCCCGTTAAGAGCGTCTTGCCCTCGAAAGCTATCGTGCTACAATTTTCTCAAGTCCCGCGCAGGATAATAGTCTTTGCCAAGTCAACATCCAAGTTCCGATAGACTTTGGTCCATTGTGTACGTATTTATATAAGGATTGAGTTGGCTCGATCGTTATTTAGAATATACATATCGCGTAAATCATGCGTAGAAGGGGGCGTTGGAAGGTACAAGTAAAGTTCGATAGGCATAGGGTCTGTCTCAAGAAATCCCTCGCTGGGGTCGCGTGAAGTTTCATGGACACAGGAGAGAATGTTCGCCACAACAGCCGCAACGAAATTGCGTTTGTGTTATCGTCGGCAAAGGCGCGCAAAATCTGCCCGATGTAACTAAAACTGGTCTGTGTGCTGAACCGTTTAAACTTCAGAACTCCACCCGGTTTTTCCATCTAAATTGCACTTTTACTCGGTTGCGATTTTTCCGCTACCGTATCGCACGGTTTTCGCCACGTCTACATTCCTTCCGATTCGTTAAATTATTTCTAAGGGATATTTCCCCGAGACTTCAATAAATACATCTCTCAGGGGTTTTTTTTTCAACAGAAAAAGAAACGTGCTCGTTAAAAATTTAACGCATTTCTGTAATATTTGTACTTTACAAGGTGTGCACGTGTCTTTTATCATAATTACTGTATCAGGAAATTACTGTACTCGGGAAATTCAACTGTGAAATTTAACATGCGTAATATCGAACATAAATATAAAATGAAAATCTGATCCAGTTATAAAATTTAAATGAAAATTTGTCATAGAATTACACTCTGATGTTTTAGAAGAAGGGTTTGTAGTGCAAATATTTCGGCCTCCTTTCAGCGCATATTAAAAGTGTTACAACCAATTCTAAATACAAAGTGAACTTAATAAAATATGACAGTGGCCGTTCTCAAAAACTGATTGCAACTCTTCGAGTAAATTTTTACACGTTTGTCGACGATACACCGCACCCACATTTGCTATACAAACGATAAAACTGATAGAAATACACTGCTCTCTCGCATTAAAATGTCAAAATACAAAACTTCACGCATACATTCGCGCGGGAAGTTCGCGAGGTACTCGTTAAACATATTCTTTTTTTAACAATGAACTTACCTCGAGAACATCTCGCGATCTCAGTTCACCTCGCTGAACATACCTTTCACCTTTATAACTTCCCCTTGGTCGCGTGAAAAATATCTTAATGGGACGGTTATTAATATTCGTAATCTAGTCGCATTACCTAACAGAGCGGCGATTGATCCTTTTTTTAGTCTGTGTCTTTTGTCGTGCCTTAATCTCCATTTATATTCATTGAAATTTGTTTCCTTCTCGTCTCTTAAATAGCCTAGACTTTCAAGCGTCAACTGTAACGTTAAAATAATGCCGAAAAAATTAAAATAATAAGCCAATTAACGTGGGCGTAAAAATTGAAATATAAATGAATTACATATAACGAAATCATCACTTTACAAAAATCTTATAACGGCAATTCATCACATTGTTTTACGATTAATAGTCGTTCGTTACTGTTTTATTTAAAATCGTCAATTTATCAAAATCGTTTTTTTTACTTAAAAAAGAAATATATATTCTGTGATGATCAGATTTTTCAAACTTGAAAGTTTTATCACTCCGATTATTATTACACAGAAGACACTGTAGTATAATACACGCGTGCACAAGTTTTCTTTGCGCTAACTCCTACTTAATTTATTGCGAGACAAATTAAATTAATTGATATTCTGTCGTTAGCATACAGGTTTTTTGATTCTTATCCACAAAATACCAGTTTTTGTTTAAAAATTTCTAACTACATCTGAGCTAAAATGTTATCGAAACACTTTATTTTCTACCTAAGTACTTTACTTTAAGATTGTATTCTCGAATAAACTTATTCTCTCGATGAAATATACGTATTCAAGGACAACTCGTACTTTTACGATGCAGAACATAAGATGCGAAATATTATTAAAATAATTTTTCGGGGAAACGCATTTCTCGTACAACCGCGAATTAACGAGACGGTAATGGCTATACGATAAAACTCTCGAACGTGTGTGCGAATATTTCACGCGACTATCTCTGGTACCACGTGAAATATTCGTATACCTCGCTACCTCGGTTTTTACAGTTACTTAATTATGTGACGTTATATTACACGTTTTAATATCTACGCGTTATAATATATATTCAAGGTATTTCACGTATTTCAGTACCGTTACAATAGTTGTCTCAGTTTGTGGTATTTCTTCAATCCCCTTTGTGCATCGGTTCAGTTACGATGGCATATGAGTCTCCTTCCTGTTCTATTTTATATACGTAGATAGATCTTCCCTTACCTCACAATTGCATATACAAAATATTGACGTTTTCTTCCAATACTTTCTGCACTACTTTTGATTTCTCTTGAGGTAAAAATGTATTCTCTCTACAAAAGCGTACCGTAAATAATTCTATGTCGGTGTACGTAACACATTTTCTGAACTTTGTGAATAAAGCCATTAGCTTTGAGATAAGACATTAATTTTGATAATAATACTTTTTTGTACAGGTGAAACTTTTGTTCCGACAATTAGTTTTGTTATTATTGTCTCTTCTCGGATAAATATTTCAAAGTAATTTATAACAGAAGTAATGCGAGTAGGTAGTAGCACAGCTGCTAATAACGATATTAATACATGTTATTATTCTACATTATAATATTATTTTGAATTATAATGATAATAATAATTTAATTTTAAAGAGAATGTCAGTCAAAGAAATATTACAACGGAAATTTTACAAATAATGGATAACAATAAAATAATCACGTTATAATTACAGTAAGTTAAATGTTATAATAGCTTGGGGAAATTGCAGCACGACTGAGATTCGTTAAAGTTAATTATAGAACAAGGAGGAGAGTCGTTTCTATCGATTCGTCCTTAATTATATATTATAATTATTATCCTATCTAAATCCAAATATCTAAAATAATGTGCTTCGATATATCTCCCGTAGGTATGCGTCACTGGAATTTCTAAAGGTTACAAATATATAAGTCCTAACTATTGCAATTACTTTCGGGATATTAACACGCTCAATGACTGCAATGTGATTAATTGTGCACTTTGTATATATGATCAATATGATTAACTTCAAAATTAGAATACAGCGCACAATTAAAAGCTTCGATAAAATAGTTTGCCAACAATTTTCTACATACGCGATCTTACAATTAGAAATATCGTCATTCACTTACTCGTCTGTGAAGTTTGTATACAAATAGAGAATAATTTAAGTGGAGTGATAAAGAAAGAATTAATTCCAAGCACACACGAATCTTATGTAAAAATCATCCTATTTAATGTGAAACTTATCTAAAATCAGTAATATTCATGTTAAGCAAAATGTTGCACTCAGGAATGAAATCTTGAAGCGAAGAATGAAGTTTTAACACGTTCCCGGAAAATATATTGAAATACAGATTGCACAATTTATTGCAGTAGCTTATCGTCATTTTATGAACAAAGAGGAAAGCACATATCTGATAATAGAGTTCGCAGAGAGGTAGCGGGAAAAGGTACTTTCTACTTTGACTATTATGCAACTCATAATTTACAAACGAATTTCTTATTACGCCACGGCATTGCTCGCGACGGTAACTTCTTTTAACACGAGCGGAATTAATATTTACGCGAAGATGTGCATCGCGTGCATTGCGAAATAAAAATTTTTTAACGTGTCTTTGCTACCGGAAAATTTTAATTGGTCGTAATGAGTATTTAAGCGCAGCGCGTCTCTTTTTATGAAGTTCTCGTATTTGATTAAGACAGTACTTGAACTGATTTTGGTTTGCTAAACATTTTAATATTATAATTACTTTAGGTAACAATTGTAAATTTTTTGCCAATTATTCGTTGTTTGAGTGGCATCAAAAGTTAAGTGTATACTTCAATTTCTTGTCTCAAGTAACGAAAAGGGGTGATTCTCACAAAACCGTACTTTTTAAATTGACGTTGTCGAGATTATATTTTCAGTTTCATCTCACTGTTGCGACCTTAGATGCTCGTCGCGAGAAATTTTTTTAATCTTGTAAATCTTTCGTGCGAAACCCAGACTTGAGATCATAACTTTTTCGAGAAATAACGCTTTTAAATTCGCGGATTATATACGATTGATTAGTGTATGTGTTCTTTTGAAATTATGAGCAATTGTATATATATGTATACACATATTCGAAAAGCGATATGCGTGCTTTCTTGCTTTTATACGTAAACATCCCCGTATACCTTGTTAAATAAACCTTTCCATACGTACTAAAATCCTTTCTTTATACGCTTTATAATACTTTTTGGAATACTTTGTGAGAACGTGTAAAAATAATCCCAAGAAAATGTTGCATATATAATATCCTAAGAATACTTTAAATCAACATATTATTTACACGGGGAAATATAAGAGTTCATCCATTCGTTGAAAACAATTACATGTTCATCATTAAACGCCAATTTCACGTTCACACTTATATCATTATATACAGGGGATATTCCAAGAAAGGTGTATATCGATAACAAAAACCTGTGACGCTGTTACGATTTGAATTCGCAGTTTTCGTAACATAAATTCAATAAATCATTTAATCTCTCCCTTTATAATTTTTATATAAAAAATTACGTTCTCGTGAAAAGATATATTTAAAGCTTTATTACGATTTTTAACACATTTTGCCCCAAATTATTTGCCAAGGGATAAATAAATTTCAAACTTAATACTTGACGACAATACTCCTGTTATCGATACACGTGTATTTTCTGGTATAAATCTCACAAAGTCGACGGTTTGTATATGTTCGAGCTTCGAACTAGACTTCCTCTGAAACTAATCATTTTATCTACGGTGTCGCGCTTGCTTCTCGCAGCTCCGTGGCTAAAAACGGAGTAAGTAGTAAACGCTAGTCCATCGTTCATGTAACCATATGCAAGACCGCTCTCATCTCGTTCTCTTGCAAATCGCGAATGTCAGCTCGAGTCTTACCTTAACGCACTTGATCAAAACAACTTGATTGCTCGTTGTCGCGTTGCATCGCAATAATCGGGACCAGACGGACTTCTGGTCGTGACGAAACTCGTTTACCTGCCGGGGCAGCTGATTTAAGAGATGTTGCAGTCATCGGTGCGGGCATCTCTGAGCTGCTGTTTCGTTTTTCTCGAGGTGCGTCTGATCAGGCTGCGACTGCGTGGCTTGCTCTTCACCTCCTCGGTAACGGAGACGACGCTAGAACCCTGAGCGGCGACCACTTGCTGGGAATTCCCGACGGGGCCCGCGCTGCCGGTTCTGCCGCCCGGGCTACCCGACCTTTCCGTTGTGATAAAACAATAATAGATGAGAGTTAGAAACAGTTATAAATTGTAGTTGACTTGATTAACGCTAAAATATGCCCCGGCCCGTCCTTTGAACTTCCGTTACCTTCCGCGCCGTGTATTATTCTACTCTTTTATTAATTTCGGATGAAGGATCGATAACGCTTTTGATATTAATAATTTTATATTTTCTACTAATCTCATATTAATTTACGTCTCTTCTTGGGGAGAGAGACAATTGCCCAAAACTTGAGAAGGGAACTGTCCCAAAAGGAGATTAAGTAAAAGACAGCGAAAAGTTGAGAGCAAAGGAATGTAAATATTGTTTAAGACTTATGAAAGTAATATACCGTGATATAGCTCTCTAGCGCTCCATTAAACTGTCACAATTAATTATATAAGTTCTATAAATGGAGTTATGATTAAGCGAGAACGAAAATAAATATTTAAACAGGACAGCTTCCTGTTAAGGCAATATGAAATATAAAATTTTGGCCCGGGCACTTTTGTGAATCGACAGGCTCCAGAGAAATTGCATTTATATGGATGCAATAGGAAATTAATTTTTCTTATGGTAATATGTCAGGATATGCAGTGTTCTTTTTTTAATTGATTGCAAATACACGTTGCGTGTAATTGCTATATGTGCATGACAAAATGACCGTAGTACAATGTATGGTAACGAATAAAAAGAATCAAGCAATGCAAATGATTACAAGCCCGAGTACTATCGATTATTAATAATAATGTTCGAGAGTAATCGTCGAAACGAAATGTGAAACGATATTGAAACTGTATCGAAAACGGTATTAAATGTTTCGCAATTGTGCTCACATTTGATCTACTTTGACAATGGCGATTTGACGTGGAAGTGCATTGAAAACCTTTTAGATTGGATACTTGTTTTGTTGATATATACTGTCGACAGATGAAACGCGTACAACGAAACGCGACTAAATGGCGAGTTTGCGAATGCGGTTAAGGTCGTTGGCTGAAATTACCTTCGTATATGTCGATTAAAGAACTCACATTGCAATCTAGTTTAATACACGTTATCAGTACGTCCGTGGTCTGGCAAGGGCTTTGTTTTCGGATTTTTCTTGATTTCTATCGATAGCAAAGGAACTTAATTATTTTATAAAATTTAATCTTTATAACTTTTATATTATAGTAAAAACAACCGATGTTTCTCAAGTAGGAATAATTATTAGACGATAACTTTTATCCATCGTTTATAATTTATACACATTTCTCCCCCACGTTTGTCATTTTAAGTTGAAAAGGAGGGAAAAAATTTAATAAAGTTCATTATTAAACTACATTGCCCCTAAATCCATAGTCTCATCTTACATTTAAGTCGAAACGTGCCTCTCACAATTCTCAGTTCTCATTTACGTTGGATGCAATCTTCATCTTAAGCCTGCTTGCACCAACTATCTGGGTTAAGTAAGCCTGACTTAGCGATTCACTATATCTTTCGAGATTACGGTCCTGTTTGTGATAGGTGACATGAAAAATTTAAACTTAATCATCTTAATTAATGCTAAGCAACGAGCAATCGATCTTTAAACAAATAAACCGTAAACGCCAACGATCCCGTCCGACATTAGTAGTATTGTAAAGTGTTTCAACGGATTATATTGCAACGCACATGTGCGGAATTCATTAAGTATTTAAACTGGCTTAATTTTTCCTTCAAAACAAAAAGAATTGAGTTACAACGCGAAATCTCTTTGCCTTGGTTGCCTCGAAGTTTTAAGTTAAAACTATTCTTGAAACGAGCGAGTAACTTATTATAATATATCCTATATAGGAAAACGCAAGTACCTCGTAGTGACTTTATTCGCCGGAAATAACGTTAGTGTTATGATACCTGCGTGATCCGTATGCCGAACATCTTCTCCTGAGCCCCGACTGCTCGACCTCGCCGGTAGGATTTTTCGGCACGATTCTGGAAAGCGTGACGAAACATCTGAATACGTCCTTAATGTTGTAGTCGTCCTTTGCCGAGCACTCCATCACTTTAGCACGTAGTTTCGGCAATTCGCAAAACAGCCACTCGCTCACGTCCTCGATAGGTACTTCCCTTCGCGCTGGCGCTAAGTCAAGCTTGTTTCCGGCGACGACTATCGGTACTTCCTGTTGGAAAGAAAAATACGTCTTTGTTATCTATCGTTTCTCCGGTAAAATTTAGCTGATGAGATCGTATCGCGCGTAGGGGAGGGGGAGTACAAGTGTCTTTCCATCAGGTCTATTGTGCACAGTAATAAATATTGAGAGTAACAAATTAACAATTCATGCTGCTCGAAATACGAGATAGAGGAATTTGGTTTGAATCGCGAATAAATGAGGTAACTGCTGAATATTCAATAAATTTTGCGGGATTAATCATGAGCGAGCAAATCTGAATAAGCCGCACCTGAAAGTCGGGTCGTTGTTCTCTCACTTCTTCGAAGCAACGTTTCACGCATTCGAAACTCGGTAATGACGACGTCGCGTACACGAGCAGGAACGCATGGGCGGTGGCTATGCTCAACCGCCTCATCGCGGGAAACTGCAGGTCACCTGGAGAAATAAAAGCAAAACTCATTTGATCTAATGGATCTTTACGGGACTGAAAAAAATCTTCCTACATATCTGAACAAATTTCGCGTCGTTGTTTCGCGCAATGTACAAAGTATAAACAGAATATACCACTTAAAATAACTTCTTATTCACGCGACTTCATTTTACTTTCTTTTTATTTAAAGGATACGTTGAAATTGGAGATTACACTTATTTGTGATATCTTTGCAAATGTTGTCTAGAAAAAGATGCCATTATTCTTGATAAATTTTTACTGCATATATGAGAAATAAGTTGATCTGTTATATACAATGCGTCTCGCTGCTTCTCCGATGCAAACTCTGTTGCTCTCTCGCTAAAAAGTTATCGCGATGTATCCTTGCGCAGTCCCGACTAGATCAAGGATATCTAGGCGCACGAGCGCATCTACATCTATATATGTACTTGTATTGAACGCTACTGAATTACGTTTATTTGATACACGATTCCGGCGAGATCGAAGCTCCCTTCGTTTTCAATCAAAACATTCAGTATTACGTTTTACCGTCGAGAATGTGTGCATGTGCATAGTATCACGTAGCATTTACTATATTTCGTCATATCGCGTAGCGGATTCAATGAGGAGAAAATTTCAGGAGATAATAGCTTTTAGAGAAATATAAAATTTGTCATGCAGAGACTTATTATATTTTCTGCTCTTCTAAACAGATTCGCGAAAGTTTAAAGTGAGATGATAAATTAATAATAAGCAGGGTTGGGAAAGTTACTTTATAAAAGTATCTAGTTACAGTTTTTATCGCTAAAAATGTAACTAGTTGCAGTTACAAGTTCTGAAATGTAACGCGTTACAGTTACAGTTATTCAAAAAGTTACTTTCTTGCAATAAAAATAAAAATATCAAATCTGCATTTGAATTGTGAAGCGTCGAGAAAGGCGTTTATGCGCAAATGCAAGGCCTAATGCAATCTGTGGAGGTTTAAAAAGTATATAAAGTAACTATTAGTGTAACTGAGTTAAGTTACAGTTACAGACGGAGAGAAAGTAACGAAGTTAAGTTAGAGTTATCAGAAAAAGTAACTGTAACTGTAACTTCGTTACAAGTAACGACTTACTTCCCAACCTTGATAATAAGGAGATTATACTAGCAATGAGATTTGTATCACAATTTAAATACATAATAGTAATTAATAGTAAAGTATACAAATAATAATTAATAAAAATCTCCACCTAATTAACTTATGTATCGAATTAACAAATAATAATTAATGAAATCTCCACTTAATTAACTTATGTATCAAAGAGTTGCATACCATAAATGTAGCACATGAAACGTCGTGTTATTACAACGTGATTCTTTAACAAAAGTATATGCTTCAGCTTGTGCGAAATTCTAACAATTAATCAAGTTAAAATATACTTGTAGTTTTTAATCTCTCCTACCTTTCTAACAATTCTTTAAAACGCTTGGTCAAATTATGGAAACGGTCTTTCTTCCAGAAAAGTATCACTGCATTTTTGCAGTCACACACGTCTCCTCGAAAGCAACTTAAAGACGTTTCATATGCTAGAGAGAAACGGGAAATAACAAAGGGTAGCCCGTCTTACCCGCGGTATCCAGGAGGTCGACCTTAAGCGTCAGAGTGCCGAGGACGCATTCTCGCGAGTACAGATCTTCGACGGTGGGCCGGTATCGCTCGCTGAAGCCCTGGCCGAGCAATCGTCGTATAATGGCACTCTTGCCGACCCCGGCACCGCCGAGCACCACCAGCCTGATCCTCTCGAGATCGGCCATGTTCTCCGGTCGGTCGCACCCTGGTGACCTGGAGCACGACCGCGAGAATGTCGCCGCCTCAGGAAGGCATCACCCGGGAGGAGGTCGATCGGAGTCTCGTCCACCTCCTGGAAATCCAATACGGTCGCCTTACGCTCCCCGCTACCCGCGTCCGTCAAGGCGCTCCTCCTTCGTCCGAAGGATACTAATTTGATTCCCTGCGGCGATTCCTGACCGCGGTCAGGAACGAGTCGGCGGTGGTAGTTCCTCGAGATCGATCAGTCGCGATCGACGTCGCTTCGAAACGATCGCGTTTTTCCACCCAACGACGTCGCACGTCACCGACTTCCCCATTCACTTACCCCGCTTACGTTGCGCTCTCGCGGGAACTCCCATCTTCCTCGGGGAAATCGCAGCCATTCGCCCGCTCGGCGATTCGAGTTAAAACTCCTGTTCAACGATGAGAAATCGTTCCATTATTACTTATTTACACGCGCCGAATATGAGATTTCATCGGCGAGATCGAATTATGGGACGGGGGAAACTCGTGGTAACGCCATTTGGGGCCACCAAGTGGACTGGAAATTGAAGCAAATACTATTACTATGGACCTTCCGAGCTAATTGGAATATTCTGTTCAGTACAGCGACTTTTATTGAGGCCACAGCTCTCATGCTTTATGTTAAGAAATCCGATATGTCGGTTATAAATATCGAAGCGGAAAGTCTCGATGGTTTTTTAGGTCAGTAAGCAAACGAAATATATTACAATGACGAAAGTATTTTTTTCTCATGCAGTATCGAAATCTAATATCAATAACGCCAAGAGAAAAAACTTTGAGTGGACAGTACAATGGACCTCTCCTCTCTTTCCGAACTTAAAGCTAATACTATATTTTGTTTGTTTTTTTTACGAAACCAGATTTCATCACTTATCATTTATACATCACTCAATTATAAGGAAATATCTGTGAAATAAGTTATGGCACAAAGTCTTTCGAAATCAAGGAGCACATAATTCTACAATGAAGACTAAACGGTTTAATACTTAATTTATGCACCTTGAAATATTGCGCCGCGTTGTCGGAAAAATTATATTTGTCGAGGTGCATGTATTAAATTGATAAATGCTTTGATTGCTTCAACTGCCAAACTATCAAGAGTATACACCAAACTAAAATTATATATTCCTATGAAATTGTCTACGGAAATTAACGAAGCCCCGAAACATCGCGAAATTCTGCTCATTCGGCGGAAATGTGCAAACGGCTGGCCGCGGCGCACTGGGGTTTTTCGCGCCCCTTTTGCGGGAAGCGCACATGGGAAATGAATACAGTGTACACTGAATAAAATATACCGTGATAATGAAACGAAACTCACTACCGGCACACATATCTCCCATGTTCTAAATTTCAATCTCAAGGATATTTTTCCACGGCTATCGATCGATCCCTAATATCGTTTTATTTCAAACTTATGTTATCTCGTTATCGTCGTTTATTCTGCCCTCTCGTGTCTCACATTTATGAATTTTTAATGTCGAAGAACGCGCGCGTAATTGTTAATGAATTTGATTTTAATTGTGATTAATTGCAACGGTTTTAATACAGTGATATTTGTCGATTAAAAAAAATATTGCTCTTTTGCCATTATTAACAAAATTCTCGTTAATGGAAAATGTTTCGCTGTATAAATATATTTAAATTTATTATAAGTGACAGCATTGATAAACAACGATATTCCAATTTCATATTAATTCCAATTTACGCAAACCACATGCTTATCTTTCCTTGTAGGGAAAGTTGTGCAGATATCGCAGAGATTAATTATATTCAGATATGTGTATTTTACATTTACATGTTACACATTAATTTATAATGATATTACTGCAGCATTCATCATTAGAGATTTAGAGTAATGGAAGATACATGGAAACCTATTTTTAATGAAAATTTGCATGGATTTGCGTCTAAGTTATTATATTTTATATGTTCAAACAGTTATTAAAAGATAATTAATGAAATCGAACAATTTAAACACGTGGTTTTACATTTAAATGCATTAACGTACAACGAACTAAACGCGGACTGCGTGTGCTTTCGATTTTGTCCAAGAAAATTTTCATGGAAATTAATCATATTTGAAAATATTTTATCCTCCACTTGAAGGTTATCATATTTTTTTCATGAACCAATTGTATTAAAAAATATTTTTCATTTAAATATTAATTTTTATCGCGAAAGCGAGACGCGACAATATCGTTTCACCGGCTTCCCTTCCTTTCAAGTCCGTCCGATTCATTCAACTTCTATAAATGCAAAGTTTCTCCTTCGATGGAAATTTATGTGGGGAAGTGCGAGTTAATTTTGTTTAATCCTATGCGTGGGCCGGACGCAGGGCGGATGGGGCGCGTAATGAAATTTTGTCGGCCAGCGCGGTGGTATTTACAAGCCGCGCAAGATGAAAAAGTGTGTCGTCGCTGTCCACGGCGACTCGGCGTGGTCGTAATTCACCTTGTATCCTACGTCCGCGAAGGGATTATGAAAGGGGAAGAAAAGAGCGCGTACCTCGCTTCTGCGCGATTTATCCTCGGATACCCCTTCGCCTTCTGTCTCACTTCATTCCCTTCTCCCTTTCCCACTATCAGGAAGACCTTTCCGTGCCCTTCCGGCAGAAGTCACAGGTGGCTGCCGGCGGCCGTCTTTTTATCCTTCCACTGCCTCCGCGGGGGTCTCCAGGGGATTAAGACGTCGCTAAACACGCCGGTGTCGACGACAGCTGGCTCTGTTTTATGAAATAAGATCTTAATCGTTAAGCTTATTAAGCGTCACGGTGAAACGTTATCGCGGCAACCACGTGCAATTTTGATCCGAAGCTTGTCACGCGAAAAACTTAACGTATAGATCGCGCGATGAACAATTGTACGAATCACTTACGCCTGACTCTCGCTTAATGAACGGATACCGCGTGTTCCTGAACCCAAGATTTTGCATAGCGCGAAGAATATTTATATTGCGATCTCGATCCTCGTGATTCTTCCCTTTTATTTCAATCGTTACTTTTTGTCGGCGTCGCGATTCTGCTTTTAATAAGTCGGCGTTATTTTTGCACTACTGAGAATAAAGTTGAAATCAAAGTAACGTATAAGATACATTTTGCAAAAAGTGTATTTGCATCGTCAATTCTAAATGGATAGCAGATATAATGAGGGTTGCAAAAGACTCGGGTTTTTTAAAAATAGCCAATAAGAGAAGATGTGCCAAGTTTACGATACAAATGAACGTTCCGATATAAATTGCAGCAGTAGAATTACAAATATAAAGTAGGGCTTCGAACGAACAATTATATACTTGCAATATACTTCAGTGGCTTTTGCGTTTCCTTTTCACTAATGTCCCGCGTACAGAGTCAAAAATGTCTGTATTGGCTTCTGAATATCGATTCTGTAACAGAAAACAATATCAAATTAATGGGATGTTAAAATCAATGTAATCAGGATTTTTGCATCGCACAGGCGATTGTATACATGCATATATGTATATATTTATCAATCTCCCGCGTGAATCACGCTTGGTTGAGCCTTTTTCGAACTAATTAAAATCTGGCGGACCGAGAGGGATGAGTTGCGCAATCCGGCTATCTTAAGTGTTGAGAGAAACTGGAATCTGCAGCATCCCTGAGCTATTAGGATAATTATTCACGTCATTAGTGTTTCTCGGAATTCTCCCGCATTCGTATACGCATTATCCGTCGAGAATTCCGACTGCACGAAGCGTATTCAACATATATCAACAATGCTGGCGTATTTTCAATCCGCACTTCTGGAAATGTTAATCTATCGGGAGTTGCCGCGCGCCATGTACCACGTTTTAAAAAATTCCTACAACTTACATCAGCGGTTTATAAATCTGTATTGACTAATTGCGAATATGCGAATCTTATTAATCAGTGCTACAGCAATTTACAATAGAATCCATTTTGTTTGATTTACTATATTTAATTACTGCATTACACCAACGCAAATTTATCCCTGTATTATTATTTTCCGCAAGATGAAAGTTTCGTTATTGTTGGATGGTTGCCGCGGGAACAGTAACATCTTTTAGACGATTCTCCCGCGAGATAGGAATGGAAAAGAGCTCAACGGGAGACTTTCTCAGTTACCCACGACGCGGATTTGTTCAAGCACTATCTTGTCGGTGAAATGGGGGAGAAAAACCTTGTAGAACTCGTATTCGTTTTGCACTCATTTTTAGAAATAGATACTATTTTGGGAAACTCGGGATATTTTATACAAGCCACTGCAAACCTCTGGCAAGAGATATGAGATATAAGATACAGATACACTATCATATGAATGCCATAATAATACACTTAGAAAAAGAAAATGCGAATCTCGTATAATGTAACGAATCCTTCTGCTTTGCCGAAGAGTACGTTGTGGGAGAAACATTTAATAGACACGTCCTAAATTGCGTTATACTTAATTAACACATGAGAGCTAATTTAATATTTTAAATATCGCAGAGCACGTATGTTTCACAATTCACGAAAATTTTGGGTAAACGATAAAATATTTTGCCGGAAAATCTGTACCCACACACACACAGCAAGTTATATAGAGACGCGTTTAATATTCGGTAAGTTTCGTCTCGTAAAATTCTCTACGCGTTAAATTTATCCATGTTTAATTTTACTATGTTAAATATCACTATTTTAATTTATCTTGGCTCTTGAAACGTCATATCTAGAGTACGAAGGCAATATTTCGCGATTACCTGCAGCGAAATTATCTTTCGCGTTCGTACGTTTCGCTTTGCGGTTATTATATTACGACCGCGTATTTATCTGCAGATGACGAAATAATAAATTTCATTAATGATTTTGTAATATCGCGCGACGTTCTACGTGTGTTGAAAATCTAATTATTAGACCCTACCTTCACGGCTGTTAACCGATTTCTGCTGGCATCAGCAAAACGATTTACATAATAATGCCCGAAAATTCCCGCACGGCTCTCCCGGGCACGGCCGACAAAATTGAAGTCGTTAATTCGCCGCTCGCGTACAAACAGACGTCGGATGGACGATTCGCCTAATCACATCACGTCTCCCTTGATACTACTAATGCCCCTTTTTTCTCTTCGTAACAAATAATAACCCTCCGGTGGTACTGAAGCGTAATGTATTGTGATATCCGAAAGTTTTCCCGAATCAGGGACGCAGCTGCCGTACAGGAAAGGCAACCGAGGCGGGAGGTTTATGGGTTTTATTTATCTTTTCTTCTTTTTCTTCGACATAGAAGGAAAGTAGAAATATAAAGTCCCAAAAAAAGATTTTTGTTATGTAGACAACTTTATAATATTAATTTAATTAAAACCACGCAAAAAATAAAATAAAACTTTTAACTTTCTAGCATTCCATTTGAAAAATATTAATAGTTTAATATATTTTATAAATCTTTAATTGTTCTTTTTAATTATTCCTTTATTATTAGTTATTATTTATTATTTGACATTATTTTGAATCAGATACAAGACATAAGGTCGATAATTTTAGAATTATTTTCTCTTCGAATAAAGCATCTAATAAATCAGGAAGATAAAAAAAATATTATTGAAGTATACATCATATTTGCATTATATTGAATTGTAATATATTGAACGTATTTTATTAAACTCATATTTTTATTTATGAAAGGATTCAATTGATATTTGGTCTCGTTTTTATATATTTATTAACAATTCTGTTTTAACTTTGTTTACACGTTTCATTTTTATTTATATTGTGTCACTGTAATAATCCAATTTTATAGAATCGACATTTAGGACATTTGATGTTTTAATGAGTTTTGTGATGAAACGCATAAGAAGATAAATGATGTAGCGTTTACTACTCTGAAATGAGATTAATTTCAATTAACCTTAACAACCTTTTTTCTTTCTCTCGAGAAATCAAATTACAGTGACACGCGTCATTGAAACTCGATTCAGCTTGCAATAAGATCGATTATCGGATACGTTTGTTTCGACGTAATAAAATGCCACGCAATAAAATACTGTCAGCGTTGAATTTTGCAAGTGTTCGGTGTCTTGTCAAATCCTTTACGCAATAACGATTGCGAGAAATAAAATTGAAATTATTGGAGTGTTATCAAATACGCTCGATCAATTGATGGGAAGAAAATGTAATAAAGTTCAGTTCGCTTTTTGGTTTTTTTCTCTTATCGAAGTTCTACAAAAAGCTAGTAAGAAATTGATCTGAAAGAAAAATAGCAACATAAACTTACTCGTTAGCACTTCAATATTAAGGATGATTAAGAAGAAAGTAAGAAAATCCACGTGCAAAGTCAACGTGATCTTCTGTCTTTCCCTCCATACTTCTCGTTTCTGTTTGTATTAATGTTCCATTATTTTCATAAGAAGAGAGATATTTATTTGGAAAAATCTGCTACGGATCAGGTTTCGCGAGATCTTTGTTGAAACTTCCTTTCTCTCCTCCCCTGCCTCTCCTTCTCTACAAAGATATATTTTTAAAGAAAATGTTTTTTACACTTTTACATTATGATTGCTAAAAGATTAAATTACGAGTCACAAGTATTCATACATTCTCCATTATCTACGTCAAACAATTAATATACATATTATCCTTTAAAAGATATATATTGTCTTCATCGGGGAAAAAAATATATCATGCACTAATCTTTTAATTCATATAAATTTTTTCAATAAAAATAATTTCACAAAAACAGTAATTTAAATAAATTGTTGGCCGGTAATCAGATAATATTACGGAAATATTCGTGCTAGAATATCATGGATTTAAGCTTGCACTTCCAATGCAAACATGTTTAAAATTATATTTAAATTGCTCGTATATCTTCTATACGAAGCAACACTGTTAAGCTGGCGAGCAGCTATTTTGTTCAGAATAGATTTTCCGATCGTTCGAGCGAGCGCGTGCTGCTTAAAGTTTTCATTTTGCTCGATCGCTATTATAATGCAGGGAGAGTATTTGCACACCTCTACGCCGTGGATTTAATTTCGCTAAATCTTTTGAGAGTTCCCTCCTTCAAGTAGACTCTTCACGGCGTATCCACCGAACATTATCCTCTTAAAAACTTCATCAGCATACGCGGCCGCGACGTTCTTGTGAAATGTAGGACTTTATAAAAAAAAAATCCAAGAAAAAAGACTGTCGCGCGTAATTACGAAGGCGATGGAACGGTGCCGAGACGAGGGAATACTTAAATCGGCGACATTATAAACGGTCGCAACTTTTCTAATATTCCTTCCCCTGTATTTATTCGAGGCAAACTTCGTGGTTAGGTTAACAGTACTCCCTGGGACACGTTCGAGTAAATAAAGTAACCGCGAGGTGTTGGGATCAAAAAAATGTATTCGGAATTGTATTAAAAGTTACATTACCCCGACTGATCATGTTCTAGTTATCGAGATACATTTAAATTTAAATAAGATATTTTCTTTAGATGAGAAACGCGAGAGACCGCTTCCCCTGTTTTAATCTCTTCACGCAGAATGGAATATTGACGCGTCACACAATTTGACACTGACAACGTAATTATCCGCGATGATATAAAATGTCCAAGTTCTAGAATATTTTAAGATTAATTAAGTCAGGCGAAAGATAGATTAAAACGGTAATTTTTTTTTTTACTTATATTCAATTTTCTCATCTCGCCTGTTCCCGGGAGACAACCTAAGTTTAATTAATAAAACGAAGTTCTGTATAGTCCCAACAGATCGAGAAGTATCAATTAACTTTGTCTTATCGCCAGCACGGCGCAAATTGTTAAGTCAAACGGACAGATGCAAATCGAGGTAGTTAAGCCACGACGGCGTTAACTAGACTATGATCCCCTTCGAGCGTTGACGGATGTCAGTCGCCGGTCTATTAGGTAATATTGCTCCGGTGTCAGCCCACTATCCATCGAATTTGGGAAATTATGTTGAGCCGCGGCATAGGCAGGACGTAAGCTCATTATCGATACTGACATATTTTCGCGGTTTGCGGCTTCGCTGTGCGGCTTATGCCATTCGGCGCGCGTGTTCCGGAATTACGTATGTATAGACGCGGTATGCAGCTGCACCGATCACTCTCCTCCGACGTGGCGCGCGTAATTACGGCGGTCTTCGGGGTTTACGAATACGTTACAAACGCATTGCCGGCAGGCTCGTGTGCAGATAACGCACAAGTTGACGGGCTATAAAGCACGAACAAGCTGGCAAAGCAGTATCTTCATCCTTTGAGCCGCGCATGATTCTCTCGTCAACATTTTACTCAAAGCGATACATGGAATACATATAGGTTTGTGTTTGAGATAAAAGTTTCGCAATTGAGATAAATAAAAGAAAGCCCGGCTCTTTGTAAACGATTGCACTTTGTTGTGCGATTATTTTCTTGTATCTCGCCGAATAATTGTA